TGGCGTGGCCGGGGCCCGGCTCGCCAGCGCCCCCTGCCGGACCTCCAGGGCACTATGATCCCTCCCCCATTCCCGGCGTGAAGCCGAGGCGGGGCCGCGGGGACTTGAGTGACAATGCCACCCCCCACAAGGAGGAACTCAGTGTGCCCCTGTCCCCTCCTCACCCTGTGCGCCCCAGCCCTGTCGGGGACCACAAGGGTTGTGGGCGCTGGGCAGGAACGCTCCTAGGTCCGCATGAAACCCTGGGTCTTGCGCGGGGGCTTCCCACCCACCCTGTCCCTTGCCAGGGCTCAGGTGAAGTGGGTCAGAAGAGAAGACACCTCCAGGCCGTGCGGCGTGGGAGGCGCCTGCGGAGGGCACGGTCCGGACCCGGGTTCGCATCCTCGCAGGTGCGACCGCTTTCACCCCTCCCCCAGCCCCGCGCCGAGTCGTCACGATAGAGGAGACAACAGGGACTGTAAGGGCTGGATCAGATCCCACCAACCCCGTCTCCTACCCCAAGCACATGCGACACTGCTAAAATAAGTTTGAAATCAAAGGGTCAGCCCAAGGGAAAAGGTCTCAGTCGGCAACTTGCGGCCCACGCGGTGTTGGGAGCCCCTAGAGTTGAGCAAGCCCCCTTCCAGGCTGGGGAGGGTGGGGCGCGGGCCGGCAGCCCAGACAGGGCCGGCCCTGCGGTCTGCCTGGGGTCGCAAGAGGGCATCAGGACAGTGGAAAGACCGCTGTCTCCTCCCACTGGCTCAGACAAGGCAGAGGTGCTGATGGTGGTTTCCTGTAGCCAAAGTGCTTTCTCTCCAGTGACTGCCAAGCGGTCACCAGACAGTGAATGAAGAGAACTCTGGGCTGCAGCAAAAGAAACCAACGAGCAGGAGAGATGAAGAGAAAAAACTTTACTTCAATGGAATGTCACAAAAAATACATTCAGGCAGCTGTCTCCCCGCAGCCCCAGGCCCTGAATGCCAGAAGCCCCATGGAGCTCAGAGCGCCCGCCGGCTGCAGCTGGGACCTTCAGAAGCAGCAGCCAAGACCAGGGAAGCCTCAGACCACAAAGACCCAGACCACAGACAGGGAACCATAATGGTGAGAAGGGGCCCAGGACCAGCGGGGAGCGAGGGCCGCAGCACCCCAAGCCGGTGGGTGCCTTCCTCCAAGTCCACACCGAGGCTGGCGTGGGAGCCAGACGCGAGGGCAGGGTGCCAGTGCTGCTCCTCCCTCCTGGCACCCACAGGCCAGCAGGTGGGTTCTGGAGATTTCCCTCTCCTCTCATACACTCGTAACTGAGGTTTCTCCTCTGCATCTAGAGAGATCTGTGTGGGTCCCTGTGCTCTGGTAACTCCCCTGGGCACCAACTGCACCCTCACCAGGCGTCTGCCCGGCCCCTTTCTTCCATCCCCGTCACTGGGCAACTTCTTCACTGAGGCCCTCCTGGAATTACAGAGGAGGGCACATGCAGCACCATGCCGAGCCAAGGAGGACTGTCCTGAGTGGTGCTGATGCCAACTGGCCCAGCTGTAAGCTCCTCACCACAACAGGGCTACTAACTGAGTGCCCAGTAAAGGAGCCATCTGAGGTAGACTGGGGAAAGGGCTCCCCACTTTACCCACTCCTGCCCATCAGCACGTCCCTCCACTTCTGCGGAGGCCGCTGGTATCTGCTTTCTTTGGAATCCCATTGAGCCCCACGGCCATGGGAGAGAATGGCCTGGGGGTGGTGCAGACACAAAGACCTGGGCATGGGGGGTTAGGAAGTGACCAACTCAGCTTGAATTCTCTCCCAGAACCAGAAGCACAGCTGCCTGACAGCTGCAACTATTGAGAAAAATGGAATTTGAGGAAGGAAGGGTCCTTCCCCTCAGACTTTGTAAGGGTGTGATTTGTAAGGGAAGACGGAAGAGTAAGATAAGGAATGTGCTTTTAGCTTTAATATCTATTAAATAAGTTGATGGGAAAAACAGCCCAAGTGTGAGAACCAGACTCCTGCAAAGAGCCCACACCCAGCCCTCTGCACTCCAGCTAAGGCCCATCCACAACCAGGAGAGTTCTCCTGGCAGACGGGACTAAGAAGTATAGAAGGTATCTGTTTTCTCTTGAGTTTGACCTGGACAGTGGAGAAACTTCAAGCTCCTTGTCACTTTCATTGTTGGGTCCCCACAGACCAAGTCCTGTGTTCTCCCTGTGTTCTTTTGTTGAGAAAGCCCTTGCCCTTCTGGTGGTGTCCCAGCCAGCTGGATTCGAGGCTGCTGCCCTGCTCCCGACAGCTCTTCAAACTCAGGATGGCTGATTTGGAGGATTGGATTAGGCAGCACCTCTCAGTGCAACACGAGGTCGGAGATCAGTCTTACTTCTTTCTGGAGGCTGCCTACAGTGAAGACCACAGGCCCTTCCTGACTTCAAAGCTATCTGTGTACCCTCTTCATGCAGAGGAACAAGTTACAGAAGAACTCATACCAGAAGAACATAAAGCCCGTGGAGAGGGCAGCCTTCAGCAGGCTGGGGGACAGGCCCTTGAATAAGCCCTGGGTGCCTTCCTCTTGCAGCACCTGCTTGGCGCAATCCAGGACGCCCCTGTAGTGCCGAACCTGGGGAGGGGAAGGTTACTCTGGTTGAGGAGAGAGGAGGTAATTAAAACAGATGCTGGCTCCACTCCTGTGTCAACACGGTACCTGGCACCTCCTAGCTCCCGACAGATACTTGCTGGATGATGGAATGAATGCAAAACTAGACAGCAAATAAATTAACCTCATTCTTTCTATTCCAAATGGGCTAAGTCAGACTTGACAGAGTGAGTGCCTGGAGATCAGCAGCTGGACAGAGCTCCTTCCTGCCAAGGAGGCCCTGGTTGCCAGTGGCTCTGAAGAATTGAGGGACAGCTGTGGACCCAGGGGCATCTCTGACCCTTCACTCATCACAGCTGGTCACCCTTGGGCAGCAGATCTGAGTCTGGCCCTCATTAACTACTGTTAGCTTGGCTAGTGCCGCCCCTCTAGCCTGGCCTCCCTGCCTCCAGCCTCACCTTCTGACATCACATCCTGCTGTCACACCTGTGTCCCCAAGGCACAACCCTCCTCATGCCCAGCTCCCCTCCAAAAGCTCCAAAACTCCTGATGACGACATCACAAAGAATCAAGTCCAAGTTCTGAGGCCTAGTGTTCAAGGTGCCTCAACTTCCCTCCCTGACCTGACCTTATCTCCCACTGGTCCTCCCACTCTCCCACTTCCAGCCAAACAGGATTTCACTCGTCTCCGTCAGGAGCAGGGCCTTCCTCCTCCATCCTGGGCTCTCACCATCTGTCCCTGTCCAGATTCAAACTCTCCCTTTAGGACAAGTAGGTAAATAGAAAAGGAGGTTACAAAATCTCCTTTGCATAGTGTGACCCCAGTTTTGTTAAAATATACACACATGTATTTACTTATGCAAAGAAATAAAAAGATGTGAGATTATGTCTCAGAGGTAGTGGTTACAGAGGATTCTGATCTTTCTTTTTGTCTAACTGAATTTTGTCAAGTTTCCTACAAGAAAAATGTATGACAACCATAAACCCAATTCTTTTTCTTCCCCCAAGTGAGCAGTGCTCTCTCCCCTCCCTGCCTCCTGTTCCTCTCTCTCCTCTGACATCTGTCAGGCAGGTTTCTTCATGTGTCAACATCCCAGGTTCCCAGAATCTGAGGGAAAATCCCTGGAACTACCCACCCTCCTACCACAGCCTTTCACAAAATCAGTGTTCCAAAAGGAGCAGGAGAAAACCAGTATGTGAAAATCTGAACCACTCAGCAGGAGTGGCTATTCACACTACAACATTGTCTATGATGGGGCTTCTCTGAATCGTGACCCTTCTAGTGCATCTAAAGTACATCTTAGGGCCGGCCTGTGACTCACTCGGTAGAGTGTGGTGCTGATAACACCAAGGTCACGGGTTCGGATCCTATATAGGGATAGCTGATTTGCTCACTGGCTGAGCATGGTGCTGACAACACCAAGCCAAGGGCTGAGATCCCCTTACCAGTCATCTTTAAAAAAAAAAATAATTGGGCCGGCCCGTGGCTCACTCGGTAGAGTGCGGTGCTGATAACACCAAGGCCCCGGGTTCGGATCCCATATAGGGATGGCCGGTTCGCTCACTGGCTGAGCGTGGTGCTGACAACACCAAGTCAAGGGTTAAGATCCCCTTACCGGTCATCTTTTTAAAAAAAATAAAAAAAATAAAAAATAAAAAAAAAATAAAAAAAAAAATAATAAAGTACATCTTAGTTGCTCAAATTCAACTCACCACTTTCCAGGAACATCAACAGCAAAAAGCAAAGAAGCCATGCCCCAGTGTGAGTTTCCTTCTCTGTGTTCTTTAATATTCGGGACCTTTCTTATGTGAGTTTATTCTACAGCCAAGCTGGACTGGATACATTTTAAGAGCAGAAACTGTGAATCCTCCTTGGCCTGAATCTTTCTATGGTGCCTAAGACACAAGGCACTTTGCATGTGGCTTTCCTATGTGCTTGGGATTACCAGGGACAGACTGGGGTTAAGGGGTTGTGGGGGGCAGCACTCCCTGTGAGGACAAGGGTCAGATCTTTCAGCAGGGGGATGGCTCACCTGACCAAAGGTAGCTCGGGCCTGCTCGAACCCTCCAACCTGCAGCCGTTTCTTGATGAGGTCCAGTGGATATGTCAGGGTCTTGCTGATGACTCCAGCTCCACTGCCACATAGCAGGTTTTTGAGGTTCTCTGAACCAGAGAAGCAGGATTGAGGGGAAAGATAAGAGAAATGCAATCAATGGTGGGCAATTTAAAGGTCTCCAGGTCTAATCCTCAAACGAAAACTCCACAAACTAAAACTCCACAAGCATCCTTTGATCTCCAAGAGGAATTTAAGCAACACAGCCATGTTCAGCAGAAATGATAAGGGACTAGGCCACCTTCCCCGCAGCACCCCCAGCTGGAGGCAGTTGGGCCTGCAGGCTCTGCCATGACTCGGTTCTAGGCTGAACAGGAAACGGGATGCTCCACCACCCAGTCTTCCCCTATTCCCACCAAACCAACAACAACAACAAAACACCAAAAAAACCAGGCAATTTGCAAGTTCGACATCTGACAAAAATGAAAGGCACAACCAGTCACTGGAAATAAATTTCAGTGACTCCAGGGATGGGTGTGGCAAGAACCGGAAGAAGTCAAGTCATCGCTGAGCCACTGGGTTGGTTTGTTTCGTTATGACAGAGCCAGGGACAGAGAACAGCCGGGTCTTAGCTTCTGACAGGAAAAGGGTATTTCCTTTGTGATTCAGAAAGAGCTGTCCCAGCCTGGGGTGGGGCGGGGTGACCCCCTCCATTTGGGGGCTGTCTCACCGTTTGTCTTTGCTTTGGCTGGCAGGACCCACTCATACACATGCTTCAAGGAGTTGTAACAGGAGAACTGGAGCCCAGCGTAGGGGAAGATGGCGATCAGGGTGGGAGTCAAGCCTTTGTAGAAGACCAAGGGGCCTTCGGTCCTGTACATGGTCACCACAGCTTGCCGCAGGGTTTTGTAGACCTGGACATGCACAGACACATCTTGAGTGAGCTCAGTGAGGTGGTCTGAGCCCTAGAACACAGCCCATCATCTCTATCTCCCCTCACCTAAAAACTCAGCTGCCAGGAGCATAGCTTCTCCTGCAAGAGGACAGTCAAAGAAAATGCTGGAGAAAAAAATCAAAGAGTCAGGGCTGGCCCGGTGGCACACTGCTACAGTGCGCCGCTTGGGAAGTGCAGTGGCGCTCCCGCTGCTGTCATTGTTCTCTTATGATAAAACTTGCTGCTCGTCCCTGTGCATGTCATGATGAGATTCAGAAGAAATTCAGTTTCCTTGGTTCAAGGCCAGTAATGAATACCGTCCTTATTTTTCCCCTCATTCTAAAAAGCAAACAATGTTCATTATAAAAATTTTGGAAAATATACAAAAATACACAGAAAAATAAAATTTACTTGTACCCCCACCATACATATGCATTTAGCAGTTGAGTTAAAGTACAAATATTTTAAGGCTTGTGAGTTTTAAAAAATACCAAAGGGTACATGAAGCAATGTTTCATTCCATCCCAAGCCTCCTTTAAGAGCCAAGTTAATGTTTATTGCCATTACCTGTGAAATTAAAAAGAAGGGTTTACAACTTCAAATAGGTAGTTTCCTTTTCATTTTCTTCTTATAACATAGCAGATCTTCAGTTAAAAGAGACCAGATCATAGTATATAAATGCTTTTTTTTTTGATACTCTTTGTCAGTGTTGCTTTTCTCATGTTGAATCTCACTCCTACCATGTACTGTTACTAAGCCGTGTCTCAGCTTCAAACCTACCATTTTCTCTGCTCTTTGGTGCCAGGGCAGGGACTCTGCAAAACGTGTGATCTAGACCAATCATATAAAAAATACCTAGCATGATAGATTTGGAATGACTAGTTCTTTACTTTTTTGTTTATTTTTGTTTGTTTGTTTCCTGGGATTTCCCCACATTGTAACTATTGGTGATGGAAAACCGGGTAACTTAATTCTTTCTCATATGAATGCTATGAAGACAAATAGATATACTCAATAGGCATCTTTTTCCTAAAGTTTCCCAAGTAAGCTGGCAGAAATGTTTTATGCTAGTGCAGATTTTGAAATAGTTATTTAAAAATGGGTTTTAGGGCCGGCCCGTGGCTCACTCGGGTGAGTGTGGTTCTGATAATGCCAAGGCCATGGGTTCGGATCCCATATAGGGATGGCCGGTTAGCTCACTGGGTGAGCGTGGTGATGACAACACCAAGTCAAGGGTTAAGATCCCCTTACCGGTCATCTTTTAAAAAAAAAAGAGACCAAAATGCTCAAATGGGGAGGAAGGGGAAATAACTTGGAAGGAAAAGATGGTGTGGATAGCAGAGAAAAATGAAAGAAAAAGAAACCACCCATAACATTATAACTAATATTCCCTGACCACAGAGAAGGTATCACCTTCATGATAAAAAAAGAGGGTTTATTTTTCAATAAAGAGGTAAGATTCAGAGAACAAGAAAGAGTTCTTGAGAGAAAATTTTTGTGACTCTGAGTTAGGCAAAGATTTCTTAGATACAAAAGCACAATCCATGGGTCGGCCCGTGGCTCACTCGGGAGAGTGCGGTGCTGATAACACCAAGGCCATGGGTTCGGATCCTATATAGGGATGGCCGGTTTGCTCACTGGCTGAGCGTGGTGCTGACAACACCAAGTCAAGGGTTAGGTCCCCTTACAGGTCATCTTTAAAAAAAAACAACTGCAAAACTTCCTTAGACTAGTAACAGCCATATTGTAAACCCTCATCTTTATTTATTTATTTATTTTTATTTATTTATTTTTTTAAAAAGATGACCGGTAAGGGGATCTTAACCCTTGACTTGGTGTTGTCAGCACCACGCTCAGCCAGTGAGCAAACCGGCCATCCCTATATGGGATCCGAACCTGGGGCCTTGGTGTTATCAGCACCGCACTCTCCCGAGTGAGCCACGGGCCGGCCCTAAACCCTCATCTTTAATAAGAGCTGGCTGTTTAGCTCAGTTGGTTAGACCGCAATCTAAAATCCAAAGTGTCAATTGTCTAAGCTAGAGAGGTAATATACTGTTTTCTTTTCTTAATATTGCCTTCACTTTTTCCTCCTCACAGACTTTTAATAAAGATTGGGAAGGGGCCGGCCCGGTGGCGCACTGCGCTAGTGCGCCGCTTGGGAAGTGTGGCAGCGCTCCCGCGGCACCTGGCTGAAAGTGAGGGACTGAGAGGAAGCTGCCCTTTGCACCACTTTGCCCTCAGACCACTGGCAGCCACACAGAAGGACTCCATCCTGGGGATTCCATGAAAGTGCCAGGCCCTAAGGGCAGGCCACTGGGCAACAGTCCTGCCCAGACGTCCTACTCTACTCTCTGTCACCCTCTTAACAGTGGGTTGGCAAGCAAGGGTCAGCCAGACATTTAAGGAAAGCCTTCATAAAAAACAGAGACCAGGGGCCGGCCCGTGGCTCGGTGCTGATAACACCAAGGCCCCGGGTTCGGATCCCATATAGGGATGGCCGGTTGCTCACTGGGTGGGCGTGGTGCTGAC